ATTTTTAATTAATGAAGCAGCTGTGGCCACATGCATAAAGTTCTAGTTGATGCTAAATATTAAAAATTATTCCCAAATATTTACATTAAAATACTAGTAGAAAAATGCCAATCTAATTCATTATTCTTTCCTGATGCAGTATTTTAAATTAATTTCTGCAACTGATATTTATCTTTGAAAGTATAAATTAGATATGGATTGAACTAATTCTAAGCCAGATAAAAAATGAAGATGACAGACAATAAATTAAGGTGGTCTCTCTTAAATCCTAGGATAATATGATAAAAATAAAAGGTTTCTTTCCTTAATAATAACAACGAACAAGGTAGCATTACATCTGAGTGAGTGAATTTTGCCACTAGATAACTTGTTACTATGCTAAAGAAACAGGAAATAACTGAGGAATGTATTACAGAAGTGACTGCTGTATTAGCAAGCATTTAAGAATTCCCCTTGTATTAAGTAAGCCATATTCTAGCAGTTTACTTAGAATCATAGAATCATAGAATTGTCTAGGTTGGAAGAGACCCTTGGGATCATCAAGTCCAACCATCTACCCTACTCTACAAAGTCCTCCCCTACACCATATCCCCCAACACCACATCTAAACGTCTCTTAAACACATTCAGGGATGGTGACTCAACCCCCTCCCTGGGCAGCCTATTTCAATGCCTGACCACTCTTTCTGTGAAAAATTCTTTCCTAATGCTCAGTCTAAATTTCCCCTGTTGGAGCTTGAAGCCATTCCCTCTTGTTCTGTCATTAATTACCTGTGAGAAGAGACCAGCACCAACCTCTCTACAGTGTCCTTTCAAATAGTTGTAGAGAGTGATGAGGTCTCCCCTCAGCCTCCTCCTCCTCCTCAAACTAAACAGTCCCAGCTCCTTCAACTGTTCTTCATATGATTTGTTTGCTAGGCCCTTCACCAGCTTCATTGCCCTCCTCTGCACTCGCTTCAGCACCTCAATATCTCTCTTGTATTGAGGTGCCCAAAACTGGACACAGTACTCGAGGTGTGGCCTCACCAGTGCTGAGTACAGGGGCACAATCACCTCCCTACTTCTGCTGGCCACGCTATTTCTAATACAAGCCAGGATGCCGTTGGCCTTCTTGGCCGCCTGGGCACACTGCTGGCTCATATTCAGCCACTTGTCAATTAGAGCCCCCAGGTCCCTTTCTGCCAGGCAGCTTTCCAGCCACACTTCCCCAAGCCTGTAGCGCTTGGGGAAAAAATCTGTCAAAGGAGGCAGGTAGAGAAGTATTACTCCTAGAGTAATCTATGTCTGCAGTTCAAGATGCTGTTTTCAGAGAAAGAGCAAGCATCTGACACATATACTACACATACGCCTTTCACACAGGAAAGCAATAGTCAGGTGGTGAAACCACTTAGTTCTCACATGCTTCTGCTGCTTCTAAATGTGTCTAAGCATGTTATTTATCAGCTATAGATTTTCACTGGAGAGTACTGTGAAACCAAAATGTGATTTCTTTGCTCCTGCTAATTCTCACGAAGTCTGCAAGCCTTTGTTTTGCTGAGTAAAACCTGAAGCAGCAGCACCAATGAGTCTATTATAATATTCTTCTCTGTTCTAGTGCAGTTCTGCCCTCCTTGCAGAGGAGGGAAAGAAAGGAGAAACACTCCCTTGAGTTCCATGTCTTACCATCTTCCCTGTTTGGCTTATTTGATCTTTAGGAGGTACAGGTGGCAGTATGGTACAACGTGGTGATAAGCCATAGTGGGAGAAGACACTAGGAAGACAAAGAATCCATGTGGCCTCAGTACGCATTCCAAAGAAGAAAGGCACAACTCTGTTCCATAGATGCTATTGTCTAAATATACCCATTGGAACACAGAGTTGGTGCTCAAAGGAGCAAATGTTGCTTCAACAAATAATTTGTGTTTGTGGTAAGACCTGGTGTGTTGAAATGCTTGCCAGTTCTACCTAGAAATCTCTTTTCTCCAAAGATGGCGTTAGTCTTGTCTATAAAATACAGGCTATAAAAATAGCACAGATTTTCCAAGAATCTCTTTGAAGATTGGTTTTTCAAATAAATAGGTATTTCTACTTGATAGTATATACAGATTTACTGATAAACATTGATTTTTGGAAACTGTAGGTTCTGTGAGATACCAGTACTATAGGCATTGCTTCCAAGCGCAGTTCAGTCCCGCAGAGCTAGATTATAAAACATCTACTAGAGCCACGTTTCCTTTTGCAAAATAAAAAAGGTTGACACCAATATTCTAAACAATAAAATTTCACAGAATAAAATAAAAATATAATAAAAGTTTTCACATTAGCTATAGTTCTTTGACAAAAAGTAGTAACTCCAACCAGCCAAAAAATTAAAATACACTATAAAATATCCATCTTTCTCCCAAGAAGATGTTAGATGCTGCCTTACAGAGGCAATATTTTAAGAGATTGACTGCTACTGCAATGTTTTGGAATAAATTTCTCAAGTTTAAAAAGAGAGATGAAAAGCAATCATGCAAAGGGAGATGAATCCCATTTTAAAGCAAACTTTTGTGATTATTTCTGAAAAAGTGTTCCTAAACCTGGCTTGATATAATTTCCTTTGGAGTCATTAATGGTATGAAACAACTATGAGTTAAATCCTTATCTAAAAGTAGTCATGCCTACCATCTAAACTCTGTAATGCATACTAGATACTGTAATCAACTGCAAGAAGCAGATGCAATATCTCTACTTAAGCTTTATACGACTCAGGAGCCTTCTTTTTTCTGAAAATCTACAGGCTTTCTGCCTACACTTCCTGTAGAATCGTTAGCAACAAGTGGGAACATTTTTCTTTCATAGTTGGGACCCCAATCAAAGAAGGCCACTTGACTTTCTCATGTTCTGCACGGTTTCTCCAGGTCTGCTTCACACACTAGTACACAGATTCACTCTGCTTCATTTCAAAATGCTCAGTTGAAAGATTCCCCCAAATTTCAACTCAATTGGTTTAAAAAAGAACCATTCTTCTGTTTAATTGCCTATGACTTAACTACTTCAAGCCTTGTTTCAGAAAACTTGAGGCATGTATTTAGGTCCCATAGATTTAAATGGGACATAGGCTATGGTTTAACATGTATTTTAGAGCAAAAGGATTGGTTTATGTAACTCCTGAACCCCATCACTCATTTCTTTCCTCTCACTACTCCCTGCAAAATGCTATCAAGTTGTCTGTGCAGACACAGGGTGAAAAAATCAAGGAGCCCAACAGATGGAAAACTAGTCTGTATTTTTTTTCCTTTTTTTTTTTTTTTACAGTCCATAAGTTTTCTGGTTGATTCAGTACACAGCTATTCAAATACTTGTCTGAAAACAAATGAATGGGCTGCTGCATGGATAGATTTAAGCAGCAAATGGTAGGATAGCCTGGGAACTTGAAATTAGCTTAAGCAGTACTACCACAAAAGAGTAGTGCTGGGTTTATACAGGTTTCTGAAGATATGGATGTGTTAAGTGTTGCCTTAGATCATTAGCTGCCATTGAAATGCTTAGCAGGCATACAGCACTCTGCATTCCAGAGCCGGAAAGTTTCCACAAAAATAAACCTGTTATTTGACTGGCAGAAAAATGGCCCAGATCACAGGCAAACATTTCCGTATGATGCTGAAGTAATTTAATCCCATAAAAAAATTACACAGATTAAGAGATTTGACAATAGCTACATTTGTAAAATGAACTAAGGAACTGTGTAGAAGTGTATGAACCCATGAGCTTGCCTTTCATCATGCTGTCATCGTTCAGTCCCCACAAACTGGCAATCTGAATTGCTGAAAATGAAACTATAGATTGAAATATGGCAGTATTGTTCATACAGCAAAACTAGTTTCACTGGAATCTCAGCAAAACAGATAAATTGAGCTTGCATTTTAGAGTCCTTCAAAAATATTTAGAAAGAAATCAAAATTACACAAAGATGTGTTTTTACCTCATCTACCTGATTCTTGTGTAAAATGCAAAAGCACGCATTCAGCTTTCATACCTCCAAAATGTCTTTTTTCTTTCTTTTAACCTCTTTGTCCCAAGTGGATTTCTTTCTGAAACAACAGTGATTCATTTAAAGATTTAGCTGCCATTTTCTCATATATGTGAAAAAGTCTTGCACATCAAAGTGCAGGAGATCACTATCCAGATGTGACATTCAGACATGAAACTCAGATGCACAGCACAGCAAGTTCATGTCTCTGAGAAAAGAAGAAAACAGAACAATTATGCATCAACTCTAACGCAGATTGTAGCTGAGATCTATAATTCTTAGACAGAAAAGTTCCAAAGTAAGATTTTTCTGTAGAGACTCCACTGTACAGTGAGTATAAGCAAAGTGTGTTAAAAACTGAAAAGCACAATTATGTTGTCACCCAAAATGCTTAACTTGGAGAGCAGTTTGCTGAAGTAAATAGTTTCATCTTCCCTTTCTTGAGAAAATGACTGTATGTCGTATCTATGGCTTGTTAAAAATGAACTTGCTGAAGATTAACAGTGCTTATTACCTGGATTTCAAAATGTAGTAAATACAATCAGTTGTTAATATATTCAAAACCAGTAACTACACATTATTTTGCAGTTTATTTTTCACTTTAGACATAGTGTTTTAAAACTGTTTTGGAAAGTTTTCAGCCTCCTCATTGGGAAAAAGGTGCAAGATGCAGAGTGATGCTTCCAACAAGACACAACAGAGTCAAGGGACTTGAAACACATTTTCATGCTTTGCAGCTTTTAGGCTAAGTTGTTTGGGTCCATGTGTGTAAGTCTGACCACAGAGGAAAGCTTCGACAACTTAGTCAAAACAGCAGCAAGCTGAGCATGGAGCTCAGTTTGCAGCTAGGAGTTCTGCAGCCTGAGCGGGACTCCATGGTCCTGAAACTGTGCTGCCACAGTTTTTGATTGCATGACAGAGATTGTTTATGGCCAGCAGCACTAAAGCCTTTGGCTGGAACATAGGCTGCCTTCAGAAGCTGGCTGTATGGACACAGCGCAGCTCTGAGACTCACACCTGGAATTGGTTCTAAGCTTTCTTGTATGATCACACCCGAGCTTGTGGCTTCCTCTCTCATGCTGCCTACCTCACTACGAGGACAAATCCATTAATGTCTGCGAGATGCTCTGACAATCTGGTGAGCACCCATTTAAAAATCCAATTGCAGAGAAAGACAGAGGGAGTAACTCTATAATGTGTGATCACTCTACCCTGGAACAGGATGAGGAAGGCAAGAAGTCTGAAAACGTCTTGAAACAGTCCACTGGGTATATGAAAAGATTTCATGTCATTTTTTACATTTGTTTAGCAAATTGCAGAAGGTGGAAAAGGCTTCTGTTAAAGCAGAGAATCTCACTAAAAATTGAATGTTTGCTCTTCCTTAATTTCAGATTTTTTTTCCTTAAATTTATTCCCTTAAAACAAAGAAAATCCCTATTTTACTCTCTTCTCCTTATGCCTATTTGTCTTTCATTCAATTTTTTGTTCTACCCCACTTACAACTTGATTTACAATCTATGCTGTTTTCCGTATTTAAATGTCTTCATGTTTTTCTTTAAATGCAATCCTGCAAAGTGCGATCATATCTTTACAATCTATTATCTTTAGTATCTTTATTTTCCTTCACTTCCTTTTTACAAAACAACAACAGCAGTTGCATAAAGAAGAAGAAAAATCTCAGATGCAAAGGCTTAAAGAGATTAGAAAAATTCTAGACCTACCTGGAAAAACTTGACAAAATAGATTGTGTGTAGAGCATTTATAAAAGCAGGGCTGGACCCAAGCACCTTTACACCTTTACTTGTAATACTGGATTCAGTTATGTTTCAATTTTTTTTATCTATTGAAGAACAATAGTTCTCAAATCAACATTTATCACTCCAGGCTGCTGTTTACCAAGGAATATTTCTATCTGCCAGGTAATAAACTCACTTAGAATATTCTCTTTTTTTTTTTGCCTTGTGTGCAGCTTATGCCAATACTATCGTTTCACCATTCTGAAATACAAAATTATTAATATTAAATGCCTTATAAGCTTTATTCTAGGAAAAATAATGAATTTGTTAACACTAGCTCAAATATCCCCTGTGACAAAGCCTAATATTACAGTATTTCAGCAGATTACCATTTTATTATCTGAGTTAGTGATTATCTCGTCATCTGGCAGTGTTTAGACAAGGTTATTTGGAAGCTAGTGTTAATATTTCAGTACAGGGAGAAAGCTTTGCCAGCGTGTTCTAAGGCAGCCTTGCAAATGAGGAGGACTGGAAGACATATAGATATGCCTGAGCTCACTATATTTAATTAGTGGGTACCAACAGGAATGAAGGAGGAAAGTATGCCTTTCATCCACCTGAGTAAAAGCCCAAATTAGTAACATCCCAGGCTATCGGACGTCCAGGCTAGCTTCATGACTATCGGATTAAAGCCGGTTTAGCTGTATCTGCTCGTGCTATGATCACATCCCTAGCTGCAGTGGCAACATAGCTTTAAACAAAACATATTGCATGTGTAAAGTCCAGACTACCCACTTTCCTGTTACACAAGATAGCCTCTAGATGGTCTCCAGTTTGGCTATGTGTTGTGTTGCTAGAGGGTGGACTGTTACCACATGGCAGTCAGGTTCATTAAAACAGGCTTTAATCTATGTAATGGGCATAGTAAACTAGAGCATGAACTGTTTCATAGTAAAAATAGCTCCCTACGTCTAATCATCAGTCATTTAACATTCAGGAGATAGTGTTCTTAATTCCTTCTGTCCATACAGTGTGTTCTGTAAGCTGAGGCTGGAAACAGGAATTGTTCTTTAAAGGGAGACGAAAAAAAGGTTCTGCTTACTGTATGTTCTGTAAAGGCTTTCCCCATGAAGAGAATGTTATTTATGATACTTACATCACCACTATGTATATCTGGCCATATTTTAGGTCTTCAATTTCCACTTCTTGGGATTAGATGAACTTCTGTAATGCAAAAAGATGACTTCAGTGTTACTAACACTTTGCAAATATGTAGCTGAGAATAAATGTCAGGCTCTCCTGTGAAGTGGAAATGTTAGCACAACAGACTGTGGTCCATCACTGCTGTAAATGGGAATGGAATTTCTAGGCTACTCCTCAGGCAAAAAGCATGGATCAGCGGTTGTAATTATGCATGTGTCTTCTAGTTGGATGTATCAAAACTACCCAGCTAAAAAATTACACTTCAGGAAATACTTCAGCTACTAGTCCAGGAAAAAAAATAAAATATTCTGGCTTCTAACTTCAAAATTCCTTCACTTTTAGTTTTTAATATATTGATATTCCATCCTAGTACAATACACCTCGTAACTTTCTATATGTAGGTAACAGCCAGGTCAATAATGTTCTAGCATCTTCATACTAGACTCACAAAAACATTAAAAGTCTATTTTTTTAAAATACCTTAACAAGAAAGGTCAAATTAATAATCTTTTCAGATGGCCTCAGAATACACTTATAAATGTCACAATCATTGGGATTTTATTTACTCTTGCAAGTGAAGAGACAAAACACTTTGTATGGTGGAGAAATTCTTTTCCAGCAGGCTTTGCTGTTATATTGATGATCTTAACTGGAATCTACACCCTAGACAAACAGAATCCTTATTCTATTTATGAGAGTAACACAACCAAAATTGTTTTTTATAAGCTTAAATTCAGAGATCTCACAATAACTTTTAAATTTCTTAGAATCATAGAGTCATAGAAGGGTTAGAGTTGGACCTTAGAGATCACCCCGCCATGGGCAGCGACACCTTCCACTAGACCAGGTTGCTCAAAGCCCCATCCAACCTGGATGCACCCCTCCAGGGATGGGGCATCCACAACCACTCAGGACAACCTGTGCCAGTGTCTCACCACCCTCACAGTGAAGAATTTCTTCCTAACATCTAATCTAAATCTATCCTCTTTCAGTTTAAAACTGTTACCCCTCATCCTATCACTACACTCCCTGGTAAAGAGTCCCTCCCCATCTTTCTTATAAGCTCCCTTTAGGTACTGAAAGGCCACAATAAGGTCTCCCCAGAGCCTTCTCTTCTTCAGACTGAACAACCCCAAATCCTTTAGCCTGTCTTCATAGGAGAGGTGCTGCAGCCCACTGATCGTCTTTGTGGGCCTTCTCTGGACTTGCTCCAGCAGGTCCATGTCCTTCTTATACTGGCGGCCCCAGAGCTGGACGCAGTCCTGCAGGTGGGGTCTTAGGAGAGTGGAGTAGAGGGGCAGAATCACCTCCCTTGACCTGCTGGCCACACTTCTTTTGACACAGCCCAGAATACAGTTGGCTTTCTGGGCTGCAAGCGCATTGCCGGTTCATGTTGAGCTTCTCATCAACCAACACCCCCAAGTCCTTCCCTGCAGGGCTGCTCTCAGTCCATTCTCTGCCCAACCCGTATTTGTGCTTGGGATTGCCCTGACCCAGTTGCAGCACCTTGCACTTTGCCTTGTTGAACTTCATGAGGTTCACACGGGTCCACCTCTCAAGGTCCCTCTGGATGGCATCCCTTTCCTCCAGCGTGTTGACAGCTCCACACAGCTCAGTGTTGTCTGCAAATTTGCTGAGGGTGCATTCAATCCCACTGTCCCTGTCATGGACAAAGATATTAAACAGAACTGGTCCAAGTACCACCCCCTGAGGAACTCCACTTGTCACTGGTCGCCACTGGGACATGGAGACGGTGACCTCAACTTTTTGAGTGCAGCCATCCAGCCAATTCCTTATCCACAGGGTGGTCCATCCGTCCAACCTATGTATCTCCAATTTAGAGACAAGGATGTCATGTGGGACAGTGTCAAATGCTTTGCACAAGTCTAAGATGATGTCATTTGCTCTCCCCTTATCCACCAACTCTGTAACCCCATCATAGAAGGCCACCAAATATGTCATGCACGATTTGCCCTTGGTGAAGCCATGTTGGCTGTCACCAATCTCCTTCTTATTTTCCACATGCCTTAGCAGAGTTTCCAGGAGGATCTGATCCATGATCTTGCCGGCACAGAGGTGAGACTGACCAGCCTGTAGTTCCCCAGATCTTCCTTTTTTCCCTTTTTAAAAATAGGAGTTGTTTCACTTTTCCAGTCAAAGGGAACTTCACCGGACTGCCACAACCTCTCAAATACTATGGCTGGTGGCTTAGCAACTTTATCTGCCAGTTCCCTCAGGACCCACAGATGAATCTTCTCAGGTCCCCTGGACTTCTGCATCTTCAGGTTCCTCAGATGGTCTTGAACCTGATCTTCTCCTACAGTGTGCGGATCCTTAGTCTCCCAGTCCCCGCCTTTGACTTCTGTGACTTGGGCAGTGTGGCTAGAGAACTTGCCCGTGAAGACTGAGGCAAAAAACCTCAGCCTTCTCCATATTGCGGGTTACCAGGTCTCCCGTTCCCTTCTGGAGAGGGCCCACATTATCCCTAGTCTGCCTTCTGTCACCGACAAGGTCCCTTCCAACCTAAACCATTCTATGATTCTAAAGATTACTTTCAAGTCTTAATGACTGCTGAGATTCCAACTAAAGGCGTTTGTATTAAATGTAGAGAGAAGGGGTTGGATCCATGGGTTTGTTTGTTTTTTTCCCCACTTTATGCCACATTTCTAATACTCCTGTGCTTCACATGTTTCTTGGGAGATTCAATATTCTATTTCAGACAATAATTGTAATAGTTAGAAGCTTTCCATATAGAGATAAACTGACATAAAAGATACCTCTGTTTTGTTTAGTATTTTTCAATTGCTGACTTAACAGATTTTAATCACTCTTTGCATCCATCAGGGTAATTTCAAAGGTCTTGTG